ACATAGCAAAGGCAATCCTCGCCAAGTTCTACACAATAGCAACTGTCTAGTGCTCCTTGCAGCATCTCGTCTTATGAATCAATAACACCTTACTGTGGGCAAAATCACATGTGAAATTTTAGGAGAGCAAAGATCTCTAAATTTTCAGAAGCCACCACAGAACTTTTCTATGGCAAGTCAACTGCACCAACCAGCAATTCCACAATCAACAAAAGCACGAGTATGGAACTATGACACTATTTTATCTCTGGGTGTTTGCTTCAGTAAGGGAAATTATTACAACGTACACTGGCTGATATCTACGCAGCTATTCACTAAAAGATTTAATCAGGTTTTCCTGTAGTCTGCATATCACCAACAGACTTGTTAGCAACAATAGCAACAGAATTCTTACTAATGCATCAGCCAGAAGGTGGGGGGGGGGGTGGGGAGGGTGATAAGCAGAATGTAACCAAACCAAATCTCTGCTCAGATTCAAAAATCATAACTAACATTGGTCCCCACACCAACAATTTTTTGGTATTCAGTTTTCTGAGAATAGCACTTCACCTCCAAGGAAACACAAATCCATCTCTCAAGAATTAATATATCATAGAAGCAATATTTTTTTGTTGTTTTGAGATATAGCTTCTTTAAGAACATTGTGCCCTCTGAAAATATTCTTTCATTCTTGTTATTTCCCTTCATGTATTGTTGTATTCAATTTATAGATTTTTTTAAAGTTATGTAGGAAGAAAAAAAAAAAGAAATAAATCAACACTCCACATGCATGTGCTTAAAGTGCTCAAAGCACTGGTTTCACTGGTTTAGAAAATGTTTAAATGTTTAAGTTCTCCTATACAGTTGAACAGAAATTCTGAGTAAACTAAAAAATGTCAGTAAGTTAGACTCACAGGGCAGATTTTTTAAGTACCTAGTTCCTACATGTCTGGTTTCCCTAGCAAAATCTACCACGCTGCACTAAACACTAAACTGCAATGGGACATCTGGGAGCATGCTGCTGAAAATGGGATTAGCAATTGCTGGAAAGCTGATCTTGAGCTACAAAAATATTAGGCAATGGGAAATGTTGACAACTGGCTGTGATTTAACTCTCCTCTTGGTATTAAATGACTGCTTATGGATGTCAAAGAAATGCCCAATTCCAGTTCAAATACCCAGCGCAGGTGTCCTTGAATTATGATGCAGAAACTTCTGAACAACTTTACTGAGAAACAGAAGTCAGTGAAAATACACACTGGAACCTCATTCTAGATGAATTTTTGTAGATTGCATGTTAGACTACCACCAAAATGCATCTGTTTATATGTTCCTGTTCTCCCTTGTCCCTCCGTGTATTCCCTGCCATGAAATCTTTTTTTCTTTCTGGTGTTCACCAGGTCCTACTCTGAGTTGCTTTATCTTTCCCATTCTGTAATAAAAGACCTTCCTCTGGCAAGACATCATGACTCAAGTCTTTTGTGGACTTCTCACATTCTACATTCTCACATTCTTTCTATGCACTTGTGGTAGGAAAAAAAAAAAATCCTTCAAAGGGACAGTAGAGATGGCGCCAATCCAGCTTCTCCAGTGAAGTGGCTTAAAGGGTAAACACTTTATCAGTAGCGCGAAATCTGAATTCAGTAATCTTCCTTAGCCTGAAAACATTAATATCCACATTTCTTAATCACTAGAATGGTGGAACTTCCCCGTCGACTCAAAATTGCACCAATATAATAGAAAATATGAAGGACTACTCCAATTAGATTACATGATCCCACAGGCTCATAAGTGGGACAGTCTTTCCACAAAAACAAACCACCAAAAAAATATCAATTTGTCAATCTGGGTTTAAGTTCAGTAACTTAGATGCTTCTGAAAATTCTACTTGCATCACCATTACAAAGATCTGACAGACAAATTATGGTCAACCGTTCATACACAAAAGTACGCATGTGAGTAGATGACAGATTCTACTTTGATGTTTATATTAAAAAACAACAGTATTCCTTTAACAACCTATGAACTTCATATTCATCTGGTGCTCCCTCTTCCTTCTAAAGTAACAAAAGCTTTTGAGATGCCAAACAAGTTTAAAAGAATTAATGCACATGAAAATTCTCTCTTGAGGACCAGCAGTTTGAGGGTTGATGTGGGGAACTATCTTTGCTTGGAACTATAATTAAAAAGAGCTACTCTGATACACTGACAAAGGCATTGTATGGAATAATACGATTTTCTGGAAAACTGATTTATAAAAGGTTATGTCTAGTGCACATATACAAAATATACATATTAGAGCTGGCAAAGGATTTTGTTCAGTTGAATTGATATTACCACAAATCTCCTCTTCTTCAGTTATTGTTTGCACTGACATCCAAAACGTCATTTGTAAGGACTCCCTGCTTCTGTCTGGCACTAGTGTTTGCCAGAGTGGCATTCAGACATCTCTGAATACTGAGGGCCACACAGCAAACAAAGACTGTCCCAGAAAGGGGCTAATCAAAGGAATGTTTTAGGATTGTAATTAAACTCACAAAAAAATATTAATTACCTACACCATAGTTACTGCTGTACCTCTTTTCTCCATATGCTTTTCCCAGTGACTTTTCTGCTATTGCTGGTCTGGGCTGGTCTGTTTCTTCATTTAATATGCATTTATTTCCACCCACTACTTTACACAGGACTATAAGAACTTACAGAGGTTTTAATTTCTAAAAGTTTTAAATCTTGTAGGTAATAGTGTAGACAGACATGCAAAGATTTCACCAAATGTATCTTTTCATTAAAAACTACATCTGCTGGTGGAATAGACTTTACAATTTGACAAATGGGGAAAAAAAAAAGTTTCATAAACTGTACGTGAAACCTGAAACAAAAGAATTAGGAGGACTATTGTATGATGCATCCCCAGGTTTTCAGAACCAAGGCTTAAAGTAGATCTGATTGGCAAAAAAAAAGTAGTAATATCTTAATTACAATGAAGAAACATATGGTACAAAAATGATTAAATTCATTCTCATGCATAAACAATATCCATTTCCGTAACTGCTCTGATTCACTGTGCATTCTAGAAGCTAACAAGGAAAGACAAGGTATACCACGATTTCCCTGACACTATGATTTTGAACCTCCTGATTGCCAAGAATGTGGTCTTACTAACAAACTACTATGTCATAACTTATAGTAGACTCATATATATGTGCATTTTTTTTTTTGAAGTTACATGAATGTGTTAGAATACTTGCATTCTTGGATCCTCTGCTATCAACCTTTATGAAAGGCAAAAGAACATATATGATGTAAAAGCCAAGGTGATAGTAGTTTGGAAGAAACCCAAATGTTTGTTAACTACAGTAAACTTGCCAGTGCTGCTAAACAAAGTTGATGATCATTGGCAGAGCCAGACATTCAGAAAAATTTCAATCTGAGAACAGGGTCAGCGTAAAAATCAAGTAACCTAGTACATACTCTTCTTTTAAACTTTTCCTTTTTAAAATGGCATAGAACTTCACAGCATTTCAATGTAGCAAATATAATTAGTTTTTCTGAAAAGCCTGATGATTCTGCTTTTGGCCTCACTATGTGTGAAGGGAACATGACTACCACCTAAGCTGGTCTGTCATTTTCATACAGATAGATATTCACAACACAGCAACAGACAAAGATATAGATACATATGAATAGAACACTAATTTTAAGTGTCTAGGAAAACAGATTATCCTGAATGGTTAACATTTTACATTCCAAATGCAAAGTTAATGTATTAAGGCTATTACAATTCTAGATGCTATAAAATCATTTCAGTGGAATGGTCATGTAAACTGAAAACTGATGTCTCTTCAGACTGGAAATTGAGAAAAAAATTGCCCCCAGATGAGAAACTCCCTATCCAGTCATTGCATCTGTCAAACTTGTTTCTTCTTAGTTACATGCCTTTGAAAGAGCAGGGATATAGGTCATTGTCAAATGCTAGCAAAATGAGAAAGCAGCTCTTCACAGACGAGTCTTAACCTGTCAGCCAGTTTGTGTAATCTGAATAATTTCTTCAAAGATATCCTTCTGTTCATCTGTACAACATCAGCAACAGAAATTCTAATTAAACTTCAGAATGTAGGAAAAGTATGGCCCTCACTAGTGCAATAGCTAGGTTTGTCTAGCCCACAGTGGTAGAACTCATTAGTTTGAAAAAAACAGTTGGAATAAAACGTACATGTTCTCATCCATTTCTCTTTCGTACACCAAGAAAACTTGATCTGAAGATGCATGGCTGTGGTAACTTGGCTGCTTAGCATTGCTCTTCACAGATGTCACACACCAACACCACAGTGGAAAGGACTCAAAGATTGCTCATTATGAGTACACAGAGCCTATAGGCCTGCATAACATAGGACACTCAGGAAAATTAATTCTAATTAATTTGTACAGTGGATTAATTAAAAATCAAAATATTCCTTTGTCAGTATTCTCACAAGATATTAAGAAGCAAGTTTAACTTAGTTTAGATTAATTCACTTCACTTGCAGCCCTGCAACTATTTAACATTGCTTACACGATCCCCTGTAAAAGTCACGCTTTTGGTAACTTAATTTACCTGAGTAACTAAGTATAGACAAGACATTAAAAAGGAAATAGTCATTAACTACCATTTCTCTGTAAAATACGCACAATGCAACTTATCTAGCTTTGTTTAATCAGACATCCTTAGTTAATAAAGGCTCTGATGTACTTCGTTGAAATGTAGTCTCGCATGAACTCTGTTCAGCTGGGGGAGAAAAAAAAAGGGAAGTCACCTCTTCATCTAGAGACATGACCAAATGAGTTATGATCAGGCACACATTATATCTGCCAAAGAAGATATACATGGGACATCAGAATAAACTTAAAATAAACTGCACAACTTTATGAAATGTTCAATTTTTATATTTACACTATAATTAGTACAAAATTGCCTTTTAAATTTTCTGTAGCACAAGACAGTATCTACTGGACTTGATATCCTAATATGTGGAAACAACTACTTTGAAGTATGATAAAGGAATCTAGGAAGAGTTATAAAGAATAAGACATCATTTTCAAACTATACATAGTGTTTGCTTTTGCTTCTAAAAAGGTACTTATATCCCCAAAAGATTTCATTTTAAATAAGCAGGGTGGGCTGGGAGGGGGCAGGGGGGGAAGACCGTTTGTTGATACTAAAGCCTTTACTGTAATAAACTAAATATATTTACAATTTATACAAATGTTTGACCTTCAACAAAAATACAAAAAAACATCACAAGATGCAAAACCAGGAAACAAGTTCATCTGAGACGTCACTGCTCTACACAGGACAGAATGCAACTTGAACTGCAAGGAACACAAAGGTATTTATCCCCCATATTCACGCAATGAGAACAATTTGCATGAGGTCACAAAGAAAGAAAAAAAAAATGAAAGGCTCCAACTTTCTTCAGTAGACTCAGCTTTTAAAAACTATGTCAAAAACCTAGGCTACATCTGTCCATCTTGCCTCTGTGTTCCATTTGGTCCACGCAGCCAATATTTAGTTGCCGGATGTTGCCTTCTATTTTGAAAAATCGGAGTAGTTTCATGGCAAGGTCTGGAACCTCAATACTTTCATTCCTTTTTAAAAGGCAAAACCTTTCTACTTCTACAATTAAGAACAATTTTGGCCCAGTTCAACTTCTAAAAGTTATATCCCCATCACATTTTTCAGTAGATAACTTCATAGACTGTAGCCTTTTTGTCTCCAGAGCCAGTGACTATGTACTTATCATCCACAGAGATGTCACAGCTAAGCACTGACGAAGATTCTTTGGACTAGAAAAAAAATAGAAATATATTACATAATTAAAAAAAAAAGTCTGTTACCCTCATCTCATCATCCCATTTTGGGTAGATCACATAGTTGAAGATCTGAGTCCACTCTTAGGACTCTAGGTGTTCTAGTTTTTTTTATTTAAAAGCATTACCATCCTCACCTGGAAGATACTGGCTCCATAAGGAGTTCTCCACGCATTAAGAAGGTTATCTTTCCCAGTACTCACAAACCATTTACCTAGAGTATAAAACAGAAGGACTATGAAAACATATGAGATACACCTGACAGATTTTGGGTTTTCAACTCACATCTACGAAAACTGTTAATTGATTACCATTACAAAAGCTCCGCCCCCTAATCAACATACACTTTTGTTCAAAATCAATGTGGACATTCATGCTTTTGCAGTGTGTTACACACTAGAAAATCCCCAGACTTTGTAAGCAGAAATAGCTTTCTACACGCAAATCAACTCTCACAGCAGTCTTTAGACAGATGGTTGGTTGTAGATAAGTACGTTTGAAATCATAAAGCAGAGATATTTATTTATAACAAACTGACACACCAAGTTATTTTTGATCAAATTAGATATGACTATGTAATAACTAATCAGCAAATCATCAATTAAAGCCCTCATCTCCAGTTCTGTGTTCAGGGCAACTTACCGCAGTATGCAAACTTGAGTGACAATACACAACTCTCATGAAGGTGCAGTTGATATTTGTCTGGTTTATTTACATGTAGCACTTCTACATTGCTGCTCTCCATTCCCACAGCTAGCCATTCACCAGTAGGACAATAACCAAGGGAAAATATCTGAAAATTAAAACACATTTATGCTTTTAACTTTTTTTCTACAGTCATTAAATTGATTGAGAGAAGCAGAGAAAGAGAGAGAGAAAGGCCAAATCAAATTCACATAGTTCAACAGCAAGACTGCTGTTCAAAATTCAAGTGACTAAGTAACCCCTGCTCTTATCTATTAACTTGGAAAAATAGGAAAAAAGAGTAGTGTCAGGCTATCATTTTGCTCTGGAAGCTAAACATATGAAAGCTCCAAAATAGTGTATTGTGAGCAGCCAAAAGGAAGATAGGGAACAATCTCCCAGTTGCACTGGGCTCAATCTCAGCTCTCATCCTAAATGTCTCCCTCCCACTGCAAACACCCACATGCTGTAGGAAAATCCAGTTACCTGTGATGTGAAGTCGTGCTGTTGTAGCTGTCTCCCTTCTCTCAAGTCCCAGGATCTGACAGTGTTATCCAAACCTCCTGTCCAGAGCTTGGTACCATCATTAGAAATGTCAATACAGCTGGCTCCATCTGTGTGGCCCTGGAATTGCCTGATAAAACAAACCAGATTGAATAATGATTTCCTGCCAGAGCTCAAGGTAAACACTATCGTGGTGTTAGTTTTGGACTCTGTATTAACGTGTCATCTCTTCTGTGTCCGCTGATGGGCAAAAATCATCCCCTCCCTCTTACTGAGCATGAAATACAACAATATTATAAAAATATTTTCCAGGTGCTAGAGAAATTAATTGCATCCTGGCTAGCTGAACAAACTCAAACATTTCCTATCAGTTTTTCAAAAGCAAAAAAAAAGCTTGTGAGAATGTTAAAGTACAATACCTATAGCTAAAAGCACTAAGGACAATTAACACAAGTGCTAAGGGAACAAAACACCTCCAGTTTCAGAAAACACCTTCTGTATTTTTCATTGGCTGTCAGTCAAGACAATAAATAATAAGCAGAGATATTGACAGGAAGGGATCCAGATAGAGATCCAGACGGTTAAACACAAGCATTGCTGAGTCAACGAAATTGCATTCTCTGTGGCAGGAGATCACAGGAGTCTAAATGTTGCAGTTTGTTTTGAAACCTTCTCATTAGTAATTCTCAGCTTTCAGCAACCAGAAGGTCATCTCAAGTTTTCCTTAATCCTTCGGCAAAAGCTTTCTGAGGCTCCTGCATTTTTCATCAGCAATTAGCTTTAGGAAAGTCCTGTGCCTCAATGTGAAAGGTGGAGGACAGGGAGGGGAAAGACAACTAGCTTGGGAATGAAGGGTATGAATCACTAAGAGCTGTCACAGAAAGGTCATGCAGCACATTTTGGTTTGTAGCTCTGGTCTCAGAATTCCACGTTATCACTTAGGAAGACCAGCCAGCAAGTGGTGGGAACACCTACAGCAAACACTCAAAGGGCAACATAGTCATAGATGTGCATAGATGTTTACAGAGAGTAAGCATGCATACAGCAAACTGAAGATTTTATATAACTAAAATCTTTTTTGTTGACCTAAAAGTTAAAGTGAAATTTGCATGCACATTAATATAACTCTCTGCACGTAAGTTTAGGCTAATTATTGATATACAGGAAACCTAACTGAAACACGTCAGACTAGGCAGACTCTTCAGTGTTTGTGTTCAGAACTCTTAAAATATCACGGCCTTTCCCCATTTAGGCTCTCTATACTCATAATATTATAAGCCTCCACTACTTTGGTAAGTATAAATCAAAGTTATCTTCTAGTAAACCACACAGCTCGTTGCCAAAAGCCATTCCACACATGGCCCTATCTTTCTTTCTTTGTCATAGCACTAGTGCTGGATATTGACCTGCGAGACACTTTAATCTTCTAGTAATATTTTAATTAATCAGAGGTCTAACAAAATATTTCAAAAGTAATTTACATGGCAATCCATTTATTCTACTCTTTGCAACCCATTCTAAAAGCTTCAGAGATCAAATTCGCCCCAAAAACTCAAATACTTCTTCCTCATGAATGACCAAACATCAGCCCTTTATGCTTTCCTGAAGAACTGAGGGGATCCACACTTTCGACCACTTTTGCAAGATTAATTTTGTTACTTATCACTAAATAAGAACTGAAAATTCTCTTTATCTTAATCCTTGTTAAGTAATAAAGTAAAAGAACAAACCTCAAAGAGTTATCTGAAAGACACGTTCAGTCTACATCAATCACAAACCAGCAGAAATGCTTCCTGTAGAAACCTGCAGACAAATCCCAACTGAAACCAATAGGAACTTTTACACTGACTTCAGTAGCTTATGGACCTACACTTCAGGCCCTGAAAATGCATCTTCCAAGACTAGGTTGAAGCTACCAAAACTAGTTTCTGCCCAGCTCTGGTGCAAACTGTGTTCTTTGGATAAGAAATACTATTTACTTTGCTGTCATGAACCACTATTCAGGGAGATAAATATTTATGTAGCATCCAAAGAGTAACTTCTATTAAAGTTTGCTGTAAACAAGTAATGACTTACCTGACCAATGTCTGATTATGCAGATCCCACACTGCAATGTTCCCATCACTGCAGCAGGAAAAGCACACCTTGGAATCAGGGCTGATAGCCAGAGCATAGCAGGCAGGGGCTGAGGATGTCAGCTCTGCTTTTATACGAGGAGTTGGTGCTGCCAGGTCCCATATGGATAACGTGCTGGCTTCCCCGCCAACTATTAGGGTGCATCCATCAGGTAGCAATTTACAAGAGCGGATGTAGTTATCTCTGTTCTGTACAACACAAATCACCTCAGTTATGTTAATACATGCCTGCCAGTAATGACCACTAATATGATTCTGACTGCATCCAAGTTTTAAACAGCAGGCTATTTTTTCCATTACCAAAGTAATGAAGAGGAACCAGTAGATCCTAAAAGGTTTCAAAAGCCTGCTTCTCATCACTAATCACACTGCAGCTGCAGACATTAAACTGCAGACTCCTATTGCCACAGTCTACTCTGTTTTAAACCTGACGAATGGCAAGTCTTCCATCTCATTACACACAACCAGAGCCAAAGTAAGCTTGCATTTCTGCAAGTGCACTCCATCAGCTAAGGTCACCAACAACAGAAATATTAAAGCAAATGACCTTCCATTTGGCATTTAGACAACCCTATAAGAAAACGCAGTTCAAGTCACATGCCTTTCAGGTTTTGGAGTTTTCTTTCAAACACTATTTTTTATTCAACATTTGAAAGTTAAAATATTAAGTATTCCATACTGGTCTTGGATTTATGATTGGCCTTTGTTGTTCAACATGATTCTTATCATACTTCTATTAAGTTTCACATTTGTGATACTATTGCTGACTGAGAGGTACTACAGGAGATTTAGAGGTGGAAAGCATTTCAAGCTTCACTTACTACAAGCTTGACTCCTTAAGTGTATTGGATGTCCATTTCTCTGTAACAGCTGCCAAATTAACACAGTAACAGTTCTTTAGGAAATGGAGAGTTAAGATCTATAACTCAAAACATACAAAAAACCTGCAAGAAGCAGTCAACAGCATTCTTTCTACTACTTTTTTTTTTTATTCACAGCAAAGAAGCAGTAAGTAGTGCAGCGAAAATGTTGGCTTAGTTACTGTCAGCTGTTACTGCTCCATAACTAAAATGAAGGCAGCTAGGACTGTGCCTCCAGACACGTCCCTGCCATGAAACAGAATACATATTCAACCACACTTTTACTGTTAGACAGCTAACACAAGAGTAGCCGTAAATAAAGTCTAAAGGCTAAAAAAAACAAACCAAAAAACCCATTGCATTAATCAGATCAACCTTGAAACTAGAATACTTTTCTTTCAGAATATACATTACTGTGCTTGATGACATTGTCTTCTCAGTCAACATGTCACAAATCTCTGTGCTGCTTCTAATATGAGAAGCATCTTTTACTGAGCCATTGAGGTGGCTTTTCAGCTACCTATACTACCACACTCAGCCCCTTCTGTATCCTGCAAATGCAAAAACAAACAACGAAAATGTATAAACTTGTGGATCACCAACAAAAAACACAGCATGTCTTAGTGACCTTAGTACCCTGTCAAATTATTTCATTATGTGGTTGCTATCCTCTTGCAAAAACAGATTGTCACTGCTGGTGTGAAACACCTAGGAAGGTTCTGTGCAGCCGCATATAAGCCAGGCTACATTCCTTCTAAACTCTTGCACAAAAATCATCAGCATGACTAGAAAGAGGAAAAAAAAAAACCAAACAGGTACAGTGTCTATACAGAAATCTTATCTAACCTGTTATTTGTTGCTTAGTGATGATATTTACCCCTAAACAAGCCAACATTCTTCTCTAACTCCACCTGTTTAGCATAAAAAAAAAGACAGCTAAATAGGTAAAGCAGGAAACAGAACTGCCTGCTATTTTCTTGTAATATGAACAAAATCCAGACAAAGACAGTTATTTCCTTATTAAGTCTCCAAGGAGAAGCTACCCTTGTGCACAAGTTCTTGTTCACTTACCAGGCAGTCCAGCTGAGAAACAGGGCTCTTGTTGCCAGGCTGGCTGATATCCCAGACTTTGACACACCCCTTCCCACCCGTGTACACGTGTCTAGTGGGGTTGCTGATGGTAACTGCACACACAACTTCGCCGTGGTTCAGAGTGTTGATCTGACGGGCATGGCGAGGGATTCCTGGACCGATGAGGGCATCAGGAGGGAAGGGAACCGGCTGCATCTGACCATCTGCAGTAACATGAAAGGAGTAGGCTCTTTTGGGGAAGGGAAAGAAGAGAGAAGAAAACAAAAATCAGCCAGTTACAGTGCTATAACACAAACAAAAACACTTTTTTTTTTTTATTTGATTTCTTTGCCAATATTTTCCTCATGAATATCAGAGCTACAGTGCCAAGTACTAAAGGCATATAAAACCTCAGAGGTGGACAAGGATTCACAATAGTTATTTTCAGTTTGCCTCGCCTTAAGTATTTGTGCATTGGGAAGCACATTAAATTTTACTCTTAACTCTACAGACCAAGGTCATGGCTGCTATCCCTCAGCCACCTATATAATTAAAGATCTTTCAGCCCCTGATTTCCAGCCAGTAGTTCCAAGTCTCAGCACCACGAGTCCTGCAGCAGCAGCCGCTCACCAGGTACTACTCTTTCAGATTTCTTCCATGAGGCTTGCACTTGTCGCCTTGCAGTAGCACTAGCCAAAGTTCAACTTTCACTGTTTCTGCACCTCATCTTTAACATTAGCACCAGCTGTGCTCACATGCCTCTTTCCAGCTGGGAACTAGCACTTTAAACAGAAAATGGAACCACACAGAGTGGTTGCACACACCTTGCATTAGAAAGCTGATACCATCTTCTCATAAGTCTGGCTTCTTGAGTAAGTATTTTGGAAAAGCTGAAAGGCTCAGTTTCCCAGGTAATTCTGGCACTTCTGTAACATTTTGTATTTGTATTCAGTGAATGATTTCAAGTATATGGAAACTGATGGTTAAGGAAGTCAATCCCAGTACTGAATAAAAAAAGTCCTCCTTGAGGAAAGTACACGAAATTATTTCTTCACACTCACTGTAATGTTTGAAGTCAGCTCTACTCAAGCACCAGGGCACAAACAGCAGCTACTAAAAGTTTTGGGCGCAGAAGGTTTTCTTTGTTTGTCTTAAATAATACTGAAAATACTATTGCAAAAGGCTGCTTTTTGTTATACCAGTGAACTCCTTTTTTACTCTTTCTGTTTTAGTACAACCATAGCTCCACTTTTTGATGCCACTGTTGCATTAACAGCATTCTTCAAGAGGCCAAAATGTGTAAAAAATGGTGATATAAGACTATCCTATTTTTTAAAACTAATGAGCTACCCTCTCCCTAATGATACATTTATTTTTCTAATATATCCTTGTGTTCAGATTTGCCCTTTATTTTCCAAATGTACCTTCTTCCTCAGAAATCTTCAGTCACTGTATCTGAAGTACTAATATTGTATCCCTCTTCCAAGGATCCAACAATACATAACTCCACTTAATCTTCTGTTCTGAGGTCTGAGCTAGTATTTTCAAAGTATTTTATTGCATGTTTCCAAGTACTGCACAGTTTGAAAGGAAGAAGCAAGCAAGATGCCTGGATCCGTAACAGACATCACAAAGCAACTGAATATGCCCAGGAGGAGAGCAGAAGATATACCATTAAAAAAGAGTGTGAAGTGGAGAGGTGAAAAAACTCTACAGTTCTTTCATAAAGAAAGTAATAGTGGGAACAGTCACCCCATGCAATATCACTGTTCTCTCAGAAGGGAAGGGCAAAAACTGCTTAACAGTAACTGCTGTTAAACAAAGAAGTCATTAGTGCATACACGTGCAATTCCTATACTTCATTCATGTTTCACAGCTGGACGTGTGAGTTGAAAGCCTGCTCAGAGAATATACAGAAATGGAGGATGAATAAGTGCAAAAGATGACAAACCTTTCTTGCCACGGAAATGTCAAGAATAGGAAATGCAAGATAAGAATGGAAGTGCAAAGTTCACTTCCTTACATATATACAATATGCACAGCATATCAAATGTGTTTCTTCCCATGGGACCCTTTCTCTTTTTTGCACAATAAAGGCTTTACTAGAAATCTGTATCATTTCTGTGAAGAGGAATAGACACAGGACTGTCCCAAAGTAGTTATTCACTGAACAGATGAGACATAGGATGGTAGAAGAAGCAGAAGAGGAGTGGTAACAAGACTGCTTGAGGCTGAACAACTGCTCAGGTTCAGGTACAGAATCCACTTCAAGAGTCATGGCACTTAAGAGGCTGAAAAGCTGGGCCCCATCCTGGGCTCCAGATCAAAGTCAGTTGCAGAATATTTGTTAGCAATAAGTACACAGAACTGCACAACTTTGAAGTCTCAGCCTGCCCTTGCATTTATTGTGGACAGAAGAAAAACAATTAAGCAAGTATTAAGCAATTTTTCCAGCATGTTCAAGATGAATAATCCACTTGTACACGATTTTTTTTAATGGAAGGTTACAGCATAAATGTTCTGTTCAATTCAAAATGCCTAAATAATTGGTGTTTTGAAATGCTTCTGTACATACACACAGCTTCTCAGTTCTTGCTGAGATGGTGTGGGAGGAAGGCAATAGGAACATTTTTCAAGTGCTTCATGCATACTGTAGAATTACGATGACTATTCTGCTCCAAAACGTCAGAGCCTTACCCACTGTACTTCTAAATACGTAGAATTTTACTATTATGCTCATGTTTAAACTGCAGTTATACAGGTAAGAGCAGTCTCTCTTTTATCACCATGAGCAGGCATTTGCTTCCAAGACTGGCTGGTTGGGACCCAGGATGACTGAGTTTGAAGACCTAACAAACAGATCAGTGATAGTTTCTCACAAGCCAAGACAGCTTCTTCTGCAGTGCAAGTTAACAGTAATCCACTGTGTAAAGAAATGGCTACACATTGCCAAATGACATTTTGCAGATGACACCAATCTGAGTGGTGCAGTTGACATGCCAGGTCATGATGCCATCCAGAGTGACCTGGACAAGCTGGAGAAGTGGGCCTGCGTGAACCTTATGAGGTTCAAAGCAGCCAAGTGCAAGGTCCCGCACCAGGGTCGGGGCAATCCCCAGTATCAATGCAGGCTGGGGGATGAAGGGATTGAGAGCAGCCCAGCCAAGAAGGACTCGGGGGTACTGGTGGATGAAAAGCTGGACATAAGCCAACAATGTGCACTCGCAGCCCAAAAGGCCAACTGTATCCTGAGCTGCATCAAGAGTGTGGCCAGCAGGTGGAGGGCAGTGATTCTGCCCCTCTGCTCTGGTCTGGTGAAACCCCATCTGGAGTCCTGTGTCCAGCTCTGGAGCCCCCAGCACAAGAAGGACATTGAGCTGTTGGAGTGGGTCCAGAGGAGGGCCACAAAAGTATTCAGAGGGCTGGAACACTTTTGCTATGAAGACAGGCTGAGAGTTGGGGTTGTTCAGCATGGAGAAGAGAAGGCTGCAGGGACACCTTATAGCAGCCTTTCAGTACCTGAAGGGCACCTATGTGAGACACTAGGAAAATCTTGTTAGCAAGGCCTGCTGTGACAGGACAAGGAGTAATGCCTTTAAACAAAGGGAGAGTAGAGTTAGACTGGATGTAAGGACAAATTTTTTTGCAGTGAGTGTAGTGCCACATTGGAATAGGTTGCCCAGAGAGGTAGTGGAGGTCCCATCCCTAGAAACATTCAAGGTCAGGTTGGATAGGGATCTGAGCAGCCTGGTCTAGTTGAAGATGTCCCTGCTCACTGCAGAGGGGGTTGGGCTAGATGACCTCTACAGGTCCCTTCCAATCCGAAGTATTCTACGATTCTAAATCCCTCTGCCCCAGCCAAGACAAGCACACAAAAAAGTAAAACCTCCTGTTTGCTTGAAGATGTGTGCCATGTCATGCTAACATCATCCCTGTCAGCATATTTACTTGCTCTAGTAACTTGTATCTACTAGGTATTACAGTATAATATTTCATTACATACATTTTACTTTAAAATACTTGCATCAGTTGCAACACTAGCACTCCCTAAAGAAGGAAAGCTTTCATCTCCAAAGCATAGAGTCCCAGAGACAGCAGTGCAAATTACTATTTGCAGCTCAGTCACTGTTGTCCTTGGCTACCTCTCCATCAAGTCACCATGACAGAGGGCTGACTTTGCTGCTTCTGTGGAGGACTGTACTTCCAGTGCTACACCTACAAAGCTGTAGGCGTACTTACATACAATTAAGAAATTACTCTGTTTTCCTGTTCCAGTGCTCTGTCACCCTCAAAGTAAAGAAGTTCTTCCTCATGTTCAGATGGAACTTCCTGTGCTTCAGTTTGTGCCCACTGCCCTTTGTCCTGTCATCACTGAGCACCACTGAAGAGTTTGGCCCCATCCTCCTGACACCCACCCTTCAGGTATTTATAGGCATTTATCAGGTCCCCTCTCAACCTTCTCTTCTTCAGGCTAAACAAGCCCAGTTCCCTCAGCCTTTCCTCATAGGAGAGATGCTCCAGTCCTCTTACCATCCTCGTAGCCCTCCGCTGGACTCCCTCCAGTAGCTCTTATTCTTGCTTGAACTGGGGAGCCCAGAATTAGACACAGTACTCCAGATGGGACCTCACCAGGGCAGAGTAGAGGGGAAGAAGAACCTCTCTTGACCTGCTGGCCACACTCCTCTTAATGCACCCCAGGATCCCATTGGCCTTCTTGGCAGCCAGCGGACACTGCTGGCTCATGGTCAGCTTGTCATCCACCAGTACTCCCAGGTCCCTCTCTGCGGAGCTGGTTTCCAGCAGGTCCGCTCCAAGCCTGTACTGGTGCATGACGTTGTTCCTCCCCAGCTACAGGACCCTGCATTTGCCCTTGTTGAACCTCATCAGGTTCCTCTCTGCCCAACTTTCCAGCCTGTCCAGGTCACGCTGAATGGCAGCACAGCCTTCCAGTGTATCCACCTTTCCTCCCAGTTTGGTGTCATCAGCAAACTTGCTGAGGGTACATTCTAACTCTTCATCCAGGTCGTTGATGAAGAAGTTGAACAAGACTTGGCCAAGTACTGACCCCTGAGGGACACTTTTTTTTTTGCTAGTCTGAGATCTTGCTGCAAATTTTGTTGCTAATGAAGAAGATTGGTGGGGAAAAGAGAACTATTTTTCTCATGCAAATTAAAGACAGACTACCTTTATCTTTTAGCATTTTTCTATTTATTTTTCTTCTGTTTCTTTTCTGTCCCTTTGATGTATCTC